AGTTATTCTGTTCTGATGAAGGATGTCTGTAATGTGAGCTGGTGTCTTCATATTCTGATTAACAGCACTCTTGAAATATCTCTGAAAGGAGAGACGGTCCTCCTGCTGGGATCACTGTAAATTATTTATATGGAAAATATTCATTTTCACTGGGCTTAACTGGCAGGATATGATGTTTCGATAAGTCCTTCATATGATACGTTTTAAACATCCATACTAGCATGCAAAACTAAGCATCTAATACATATTTAGAACACATTTTAGCTGTCTTGTTTGTGTTTTAAAGATATCACTTATTCTCACCAGCACTGCATTTATTTAATCAGAAATACAGAAAAATATAATGTAATATTGTGAAATATTATTACAATTTAAAAGAGCTTTTTTCTATTTGAATGTATGTTAAAATGTAATTTATTCCTGTGATGCACCGCTGAATTTTCAGAATCATTACTTACAGTCTTTAGTGTCACATGGGCCTTCAGAAATCATTCTAATTTGCTGATTTGTTGCTTAATAATTAATAATAATTATCATTCTTATCAATGTTGAAAAGAGTTGTGCTGCTTAATATTTTTGTGGAAACCAGATACATTTTGTCACACCAGAAATGTAGCACATACATGTTTCAGGATTCTTGATGAAAAGAAAGCTCAAAAGAACAGCATTTATTTGAAATATTTTGTAGCATTATACATGTCTTTACTCTCACTTTTGATCAGTTTAATGTGCACATGCTGAATAAAAGCATTATTTTCTTTCAAAAACCTTAGTAAAGGACTCGTCCCTTAGGCATAAGTGTCCAGCACAGCCATGGACCTTTTTATTGCTATAGTCTGATGTAGGTGGAATTAAGGGGCGGAGCATTCACATTCTAGAGAGTATTTGATTGGACTAAAATTAGTGTAGTACAGCAGAAGTCAATAATATTTACTTGAAATAAAATAATAGTACATTTGTAATGTAAATATCTGCTTAAAATGAACATTGTCAAGGTTTAGCATATGAGCACATACAGTAGATGTCATTGGCATTTAGCTTGTACTTAACTCAGGGAATTCCTATAGACAATCCTTTTTGAGGTTTTATACAAAAACAAACAAGTTTCGTTACAGAAAACGTGTTCCACACCTGGTCTTCATGTCCACTTTGATACAAATCATAATGTGCTGTTTAAGGGAATTTTTAATTGTTCATGTGACCAGATAAACAGAGCAAGTCTGTGATGTGAGTTATTTTGAGAAAGCTGTTACAAACATAGTTTCTGATTGCATTTGCATGTCTATTTTCATATTAATTTTGCTTGTAGCAATCATATTCGCATGTTTCAGGCAAAAGGAAGAGGAAATTGTATTCTGTCCTTTTGGCAAATATTTGACAGTTGCATGTTCTAATGCTAAAATCAAAGTGTTATTTTAGCATCATTGAGATACTATTATAGTTTATTAATATTTTGAATGTCTTTTATTTTTATATTTACAATTTTCATTTTACAGTTTTAGTAATTTTGTTGTGCATCTTCTCATTTTTGTCATTATTATTATATATATATATATATATATATATATATATATATATTTTAGATACTGTATGCATATATAATTTTTATTAAGTTTAAAAAAAAAAGTTGCCTTGGCAAGTAGTTGGTATAGAATAAAAATAATAAATGCATTTATTTAAAATGTATTTAATTTCAAGTAACAAAAACGTTTTATGGTTTTAGTTTCAGTTAAGTATAATAACCCTGCTGTGGATGTGTCCTTTGGATAGTTTTATGACCTTCTTTCTTTATTCACAAACTTTGCTTGAGACGAACACCAGGATAACTTGATTTGAAAAGAGATCATAAATATGACCAGTGGTAGCAGCTCCTCACCTCTAGTTCACACGTGTTTTCTAATAATGAGAAGCGTTAAGCGAGGAAGAGAAAGTGACGTGACATGTGGTGACCCATACTTGGAATTAGTGCTTAACCCATCCAAAGTGCACGCGCACAGCAGTGAACACACACACACACACACACCCGGAGCAGTGGGCAGCCATTTATGCTGCGGCGCCCGGGGAGCAGTTGGGGGTTCGGTGCCTTGCTCAAGGGCACCTCAGTCGTGGTATTGAAGGTGGGAGAGAGCGCTGTACATTCACTCCCCCCACCTACAATCCCTGCCGGTACGAGACTTGAACCCGCAACCTTTGGGTTACGAGTCCGACTCTATAACCATTAGGCCACAACTTCCCCTTAGAGCTAGGTTATGTAGCGGTTATCGCCTTGAGTGTCTGTCTTGACACAATGGCACAGCCTCTCATTTCAAAGTAACCCAATCCTGTCACTATCTGTCAACATAACAGTTCTCTCACAACCTGACAGAGGCTTCCTGCTGTTCTGCAGTGGAGAAACGTGGAACGCTGTTGTTCAACATTATAGATTTTTTCCTCTCATTTGTAATTTGCATATTGATCTTGTTGCTTCATTTAAAAACAAAAATCCGATGAAATAATCATTTGGAGTATGGCCTTTGGTTTTGTGTGCAGTTTAGTGGAAGTGATTGTTTAAATATTGGATGTCAACTGGATTGTATTTGAGTTTCTCAGTACTGGGTCAGCAGTCAGGGTGTTTGGCCCACGGCCTCTTTATGACTCTCATTGGGCTGTTTACTCTAGTCAGGCTTACTATCTTGTCTTTTATCGCTTACATCTTCAGCTAGACACTGCCCCTGTAGTATAAAATCATTTTACAGTTTGTGATGAATAAACATCTCCAATGATTATAGTAAAACCACAGTGGCATGCTTTAAATCTAGGTGCTTTTTGCGGTTTGAGGTTATTCCCAGTACTTTACAAAACACAGTGAATACTCTGTCATCATTTGCTCACCCTCAAGTCAGTTCAGTCCATATGGCACTATATGCTAAATATGGAGATATTTTGCAAAATGTTCACACAGCTCTTTTTCATATAATTAATGTGAATAGAGACACTAAAATGCTCCCAAAATGACAAAAGGTTTTTCAAAATGACTCATGTTTTTTGAAGTAACATGATATTTTATTGTGAGAAACAGCCTGGAATTTAAATAATTGACTGAAAAAAAATCCCCTTTGCTGAAGCTGTAAAATCTCTTTCTCAGATTGGCTACAAGACACACAAGAACCAACTGCGTTCAGCATCACTGACATCAAACCATATTCTATTAGGAGCTGAAGTAGACAATCATTTTTCACAGAAAGCTATCATATGACGTCAAAAGAGCCTTATTTACCCTTAAATACACCACATTATTATTATATAGAAATAATATACTTTGAAAAAATATATACATAAGTGTGAACTGAGTGCAGTGTTTTCACACACTTAATTGCATGTTACAATTAAATGTAAATAGTATTATACTTAAAATAAAATATAAATGCAATTAGTTGCAACTTAAAGATGTACTAAGTGGGTCAAAAACACTCTTATGTAATTTCATATTTACTTATTTTGCCTTTAAAAGATGCTGAATGTCAGATACTGCTGAATGTACTGGCAAGCGTTTATGGTAAACTAAAATATGCTTCAATATAATTTATATTGAAACTTGTAAATCGTGCATTTAAATATATTTTACACATTTGTTATGAAGTTGCAATTTAGTCCATTTAAAAATATTAACTTATAATTAAGTACTTTACATGCGCTTTAGTTATGTTAGTAAACACATCAAAATAAGTTTACTGCTTTAAAGGATATAGTCATATGGACTTTTTATGATGCTTTTGTTCAACTCCCCATTCATTTATTTTCACTATATAAAAAAGTAGCATGAACATGTCATATGGGTTTGCCAAAACATTTATTTATTTATTTATTTGTATATATTTTTTGTTTGTTTGTTTGTGAACAATTCTGTAGCATGCATAACAGACAAAAAAACAAACAATATTAAGACAATACTGAAACTCATAGAAAAAATAAATTAAATCTGGATTTTTTGTTTTGTTTTAATTTTTCAGTTCATTCAGTGGTTCATTCAGAGATCCCAGTTCAGTGTGTGGTTTCAGTGTGCATTCAGATGAGTACTCGATGTATGTGTGTGCACTCTCACAATTACTGTGCTTAATTCTTTTGTGTTGCTGATTCATCTGTGTGTTTGGTGGTGCATCTTGCTGGGGCTTGTGTATAAATGTGTCCTTGTGACTGTTTGTGGCTTCGCATGCATTTTTAACAATACCTTTGTTATACAACTTTACAACTTCAGTCCCCAGTGTCCTAGTTACCTGGCATCCTATCACCTTACTCTAATCTGTAGGCTGAGGGCAGCTGTATGTGCCGGAAGACTGAGATGCAGAGCATTGTGGGAACAGCAACCTGAGGAACGTGACCAACCCACAATTCCGGCTCCAGACATTACCATTCATCTTCAAAATTGTTGTTGGATAACCGGACTGTACTCAGGAGAGATCTCCTGGCATCTTTAACAAAAAACACACAGGTCATTTCTATAGTCTGAGTGTTTATGCTCGTGTTCGTGTGTGTGAGACCGTCTCGGACCTTCGGGGAGTCCTGGAGTACTGTTACACCGATAGCTGCCCCTTATGCATGTTTCATCTGCTGGGAGGAGAAAAGAGCTCTCGTTTGTCATCTAATACTGCTGTAGGCCACACACGCTCCCATCATTTTCACTCACCTCCACCAGTGCATCCACCCAAACACCATCAGGTGCCCTTTGTTGGATAATTGTGCCACGAAAACAAGTAGAAAGAGTTCAATCGATCGTCAAGAAAGGACTCAAACAGCTATTCAGTGCAGGACTGGATTATCGACTTTTGATCGAAGTGCCCCGGCATTCAGACAAGTCTTGGAGGACTTAGGATCAACTTAACACCTCAGTATCCTCTTGAATCTTTAGCCCGGACAGCTCCCCGGTTAGCCTCTCACCTTCCCTGGTAGCTGGGAAGTAACCGTAGCATCTCCGTTTAGCATCTTACTGGTGATCACAGCGGCAGGGGTGGTGAGCTCGGAGCATGACGGACACCCTTCGCCCGCCGTCCCTCCAGGTGCACGTCCCCGAGGACGAGTCCAGCCATGGAGAGGAGGAGGGCGGTGGGAGTGGAGGCGGTCACGACAGCCTCGTCTGGTCCAGCTCATCCACCCCCACCCTGCGGCGCCGACGGTTTAAGATGAGACGAATGAAAAAGCTGCCCAGCGAGCGGGAGCGGCTTGAGAACGGGCTGCTGCGGCACCCCGGATCCCGCTCGGCTTCCAAAGAGTACCTTCAGCTGCCCTCCATCGAAATCACGCCATCCAGCGACGAAGACGCAGCCTGGTCAAACAGCTCCACCCCGAGCGCTTCGCCCCGGCGCAAACGATTCCTGCTTCGCAAGTGGCTGAAGGTGCGAGAGAGGAAGAAGCAAGGCAGTGAGAGCAGGTTGGTGTTTCAGACATGCGGTTCAGTCACGTCACAGTTGGTGATTTCTAGCAGCAAGTACTCTTATTTTGGGATAGCTTGCCCAAAAATGCCTGACATTAAGTGTTTGGAAGACACCAGCTAGCTTTTTGTAGTTTATCCTGTAGGAGTTGGCTTAGCTGTAATAGAGTGCGGTAATGACGTATTTTTGTAGGCCACTCCGGATGTTTACTTCACACTGGTTCCCTCTACAAAAACCCAATCAGAGTTTTCCATTGGCTTTTGGATAATTACAGAAATAAGCTCTTTGATCAACAAAAGTTTATGATTCTTACACGTTTTGTTCATCGTGATTATCTTAACAAATCTTATGAATTTTGAAGCAATATAATCGGCAGAAGTAAAAAGCCAAACGTAGGCTTTAAACGAACAACATCACAGTCACATGACTTCAGTGCCACCAAAATTAAGCTCCCGTCAACTCCTTCAGGCTTTATGTAAAACATTTTTATTAAAAGTTTCAGTTTGGGGGTATTCACACAAAATGTGACTTTGCTTTGAAAAACACAACGTGGGCAGTAGAATGGGGAAAACCGCAAGGCCTTGAGACGTTTTTTTTTTTTTTTTTAAGTTATCTTATTTTAACTTGAACGCCATCTCTATAGAACGTTGTGTCCTGCATGAGACTCTGCAAAAGATAACCCAATGGTCTGCCACATTGGTCTGCCACATATTTATGTTAAAAAACAATGGACAAGTAGTGCAGTGGAATAGAAATATAGTATGCATTCTGTGTGAACTCCCCCTTAGAATAGTTGGACAACTTTAAAGGCGATTTGCTCAATATTTAGATTTTTTTTCAGATTCCTGATTTTCAAATAGTTGTATCTCAGCCAAATATAGTCCTATCATAACAAACCATACATCAGTGGAAAACTTACTGTATTTACTCAGCTTTCATATGATGTATAAATCTCAATTTCGAAAAATTGAGCCTTATGACTGGTTTTGTGGTCCAGGGTCACACACACACACACACACACACACATATATATATATATATATATATATATATATATATATATATATATATATATATATATATATATATATATATATATATATATATATATATATATATATATATATATATATATATATATATATATATATATATATATATATATATATATATATATATATATATATATATATATATATATATATATATATATATATATATATATATATATATATATATATATATATATATATATATATATATATATATATATATATATATATATATATATATATATATATATATATATATATATATATATATATATATATACAATGAGGCTGTAAAAGTAGACTAGTGAGTTGATGACAGTAGATGAAATGTTTGCATGATGATGTTTAATGTCCCAGACAAGCTCTGTAGTCACATTTAGCCACTTGTTAGGCATCGTTTTTTTCAAGTAAAAACTTTTTAAAAAATCACAGGGGAATATTACTGATGTATTTATGTTGTAGAATTAATTGTGAACTTATCTTGAGCTTATGTTCACCCAAAACAAAACATACAAGATGGAACCAGAACTCCTTTCCTTGTCTGGGAAGCCAGTATTAAAGGTATTAAAAATGATTTTACTTTTTGTATTATTTATTTATTTATTTATTTGTTTGTTGGTTTGGTTGTTTAGCTTGTTTATTTTTATTTTTATTATTTAAGATTTTATTTATGTTTTTTAAGTGTTTATTTGAAATCATCTGTCTGTAGCATGCAACTTTATTTAGCAATTTTATTTTTGGTTTATTAACAAATTATCTTGCCAAGTTGTTGCAGAGAGCACACTGACTGTTGAATTGAAAGTTTAACTTGCTAAATGCAATAGTTTTGGCCAGTGGTGGTTCTAGGTCACTTTGTGGTGTATTAATGATAATGAGCAGCCCACAGTAGATTATCTCTCTTATTACATTGGCTACTTAATAAAAAATTAGATAATAAACCAAATAACCCGCAAGACCTGCCCAAATGCTCCAGCTGGGAAAGAGAGACAGTAGAGTTACAGTAGCTGAGTCTCTGCCTCTCTTGATGCTTTTACAGTAATTTGCACTAGGAAGTTGAGAAGCCACAAAAACTGATTCGGCTGGGATATTAAAAACAATATTTGTTTACCTCTGATGATTTGCATCATTTCATATCATGTTTCATATGCAAGCTGTGAGCTACAGCTACATCCTGTATTGTAGATTCAGTTCTAAGCAGAAAGCGAGTCCTTGAGTAATGCACTTATATCCGGGGTCTCCGGCACGCTGTGCTGTAGGTTGCTTTAAAAAAAACAGGACTGCTAAACGGAAAGTAATAAATGTTTCTTTACAGGAGAGCCCGTAATGTAATTTAGCGGCACAAGTTTAATTTTGTGGCTCATTTAAAACAATGAGAGGAAAATACATTGAATTACAAAGTCTGTGGTGTCTGTGTGAAAGAGATGTCCCTTTAAAGCTCAAACGATTTCAGACCACATTTTCATGAAGTATAGGAGAAAATGTGAGCTAAGGAAGTCAGAGAAAGTGTGGTGTAGAGAAGGTGTAATAGCACTGCCGTTACGTTTGGGTGATTTCAGTCCAGACTGCTTCGTTGATTATAATGGGAGCAATTTCTTTTTGATGCATCATGTGTACAGTCAGTGTAGGTGCAGTGAAACTTAGTGCATTAAATGTAGAATTCAACTGATGTGCAGTCACAAAGTGACAGATGTGCAACTCTTCATACAGTATATAGATTAGTGTACAATACCTTCAGTTACTACGCAACTTTTCTTTTAGTCTTCGTAATTTTGAATCAGTATGACAATTTCAGCAGTTTATTTAAGAACCCCCCCCCCCCTGTTTAGTTAGTTTTATATTTTACTGTCACCACATCTACAGCTGATGCTAATTTGTTAGGCCATTTCTTATCTTATCCTATCTTATCTTATATTATCTCAACTTATTTATTTTGTTTTATTTTGCTGTTATTGGGTTACGTACATGTGTTGTTGTTTTGTGTTTGTTAATTATAGCAGATATGTGCAAAGTTCAAGTCAAGACCACCAGACAAACCTTCAAGGTTTCATTTTAACCAGATGATAAGATCAGATCATGTTAATATGGTTGAACACTGGAAACACGAGACTCAGCATTGTGCTCACTGACCTTTAGACTGTGAAGCTAGAAGAAAACTGCATCAACATCAACCCATTATTCTTATTTCAATTTCATGTTTATTTTTTTATAATATTTTGTTAATTGTGATCAATGTCTTTTTTTGTGTGTGTGTGTGTGTGTGCGTGTGCGTGTGCGTGTGCGTGTGCGTGTGCGTGTGTGTGTGTGTGTGTGTGAGCCTAAACAGGCATCACTTTTAGTGATGCACATATCATCCACAATAATAATCTCAACCACCCAGAATGCTCTCACCTTGCACCATTTGTACTATCATCATGAATGTTATGCCAAATGTTATGCACACGGCGGGCTAGAGTGAGCGGCGGCAGGCGGGATGTGACGACCCCAGGCTGGACTCCGCTTCGTCCACGGTGAAAGCGATCCACAGCGCAAAATTGATGTATTTCCTCAGCAACCAGCACAAATCAGCTCTAGGCATGATGAAGTGGATATCGTCCTCTTTTGGAAGTCCAAACAAAGTAGTTTCGCCTTCACAACATGGCGGTGGCGGCACCAACAATACTACAGCGAGAATAAAAGTTACGCCTTCTTTCTTTGCGTGAACATTTGGGCGGCGTTATGCAAATCTTCCCACATCGTGAGGTAGACATGTGGGGGCGTGTTCGAACGAGCTGTTTTAGGTAGGCGTGGTTGACTCTTAAATTTTATAAAGAATATCTCTTTGGATTTGAGACTTTAGTCTTTGCAACTTTACAGATCTTCTTTATGCACCAAGAGCTTGTAACACTCCAAAGAGAAAGGAAAAATTGAAATCGCATCATATTACCCCTTTAAATATAGGGTCCACGTGGGTGCAAAAAAAAAAAGTGTTAAATTTAGTTGCATGAAATATAAGGCCATAAAGTCTTAAATACCTTAAATGGTATAAGAAAAGTCTTAATTATCATTTCAAGAGGTCTTAAATTTGTGGATGGACAGACAAGAATTGCAGAATGGATTAATTAATGCACGTTTCAAGGTTAAAATGCGGCGAGGGTGTTTTTATATCCGTGTATCTCTGAAGGGAACCGACTGCCTTGAGAAAAGTTTCTATGGCATTTTCATTTCATCTTACCTGGAATGCCTGATAATGTAGCATTTATAAGTGCAGCGCTGCTTTGTGCGACAGATTTTATAGCACGCATTCTTAAACCATCTGCGAATCCTCTCAAGCAACTGAGCAATTCCCAAGCAGTCCACCTGTCTAAATCAAAAGTGTAATGTGTCAAGATGTGTCAAAACACGAGTATGTGGTGAGTTTATGTAGCTTAATGTTGAACATAGAAGGCAGATTAATGGTTAAACAGTTTGCTATACTGATACTTTGCCTCTTTGAAGTATCAGCAAGAAACTCAGAAGCTGCCAAATAAGACCACATTCATTATCAATCCAGCAGAAAGGTGGGGATACAAAAGCTGAATTCAGTGTTTTTGAAGTGTCTATAAGAAATAAGACAAGCATAACTTTTGGAACAATTCAGAATTTAAGCTCGGGTTAGTTTACAGCCAATATAAGCACAGTAGTTAAAGTATTCCTGCTCATATCTCATCTTTGTGTGCTATTCTATAATATCTGAATCTGGGATCAGTGAGGTCTCTTATCTGGGCTTGTGTGTGCAGTGTCTCATCTCGTAGGTTTTCTCGTGCTGCTGAGATGCATCCAGACCTTTCACAGTCTGCCTTGTTCTGATAAGAGGTGCTATTTTAAGACATGGGGAACTTATAAGTGTGACCCTTCCAGCTGAGAGAGTCTGTGGATGTTGTTAATATTTCAGATATAAGAGTTGTTTTTTTCACTGCAGGAGGGGAGTAGGTGTAAAACTGTTCTCATAATGCAAGGTTAAAGTCTGTGGGAAAGCCTTAAACTGAGTGCTTTACTTGTTTAGTGAGCATCTGATTGGAAGAGCTGCATGATGGACTGTGAATTTATATTTATTATAAAATGTATTAATTTATACACTACCATTCAAAGTTTGGGGTCGGTAAGATTTGTTTATGTTTTAACTACAGTAAAACTACAGTAAAACTGTGAAATATTATTACAATTTAAATAACTGTTTTCTATTTGAATATGTTTTAAAATGTAATTTATTCCTGTGATGCAAAGTTGAGTCGTCAGTGTCGCATGATTCTTCAGAAATCATTCTAATATGCTGATTTTCTGCTTTCTGTTTTCATGGAAACCATGATACTTTTTTTCAGGATTCTTTGATGATTTTCATCAGGATTTCTTAGATGAAAATGAATAGAAAGGTCAAAAGAAAATATTGAATTTGAAATCGCCATTGTTTTAACATTATAAATGTCTATTATTGTCACTTTTGATCAATTTAATGCATCCTTCCTGCATTAAAAGTATTAATGAAAAATGTCCCCAAATGAGCGACTTAGTAAATAAATATAAATTGATACTTCAAAATATTTATTAATATCATATGTCATACTTATATTTCAACTCATTTATATTTATAGTGAATTAAAACATCTTTGATTTATCCAAAACCTTGCGGCTCATCATACGATTGGGCGAGCTTGTGCTCATTTTTAGGTGATTGCGGACTCAATTTGTGATTAAGGAGAGAGCGGGCATGAACCTGTTTTCCCGTTGGCGTTCCAGGTTCCCTGTGACCACACTGATTCAGCAGTGCTGAAATAGAGGAAGCTGTGATGGAGAGATGCTAATGTAGCTAAAAGCAGATGGCTTCCACTCATTGTTCTGCTATCTCTTGGTTATTTTGGTTGTGGTATCATTCACTCGTCATCATTACTGGGTGAGGGTTAGGGACAGATGCTCTATTCCAAAATGTCTGCATTTTCTATTAAAGCACGTAACCAGCAAAGCTTAATACTCTTGTTTTTGCTCAGTGATTGTTTGACGGGTGAGTAGGCGGTCATTTGATCTCACTCAGGACATTTACACTATGAAGGCCAATTGCAGTGTGCTCATTGTGACTGCCAAAATTTGGACCCTGTTTACACCTGCATTTTAGTGCTGAGCACTTGATTCAAGAGCTTTTCATGCCTCTTCACTGTATGATTGTATTACAGGTGCATGCTTGTGGCATAACAACACTCGTCATTCCATTCTAGCCGGAACTGACAGTTTTCATTGTTTATTTTTGGCTAGGAGAATGACAAGATGGCAGTGTAATAGTGACACATTGATTTAAAAACAGAATGAATGACAACTGAAGCGCACCGAAGAGCGAGGTGTGTGTTAGAGTCTTACAGCAGAGCAGTTGATAGTGCATGTATAAAAGATATAGTGTCTCACACACCTGAATCAATCGCACTGTATGTGTGTCAGGCCTAATATAAACTCCAAAAAATGTAGAAGTCCAGCACGCCTTACAAAAGTTTTTAGCTTAGTAACAGTTCGGTCAGTCGACTTTCCTCAGGCTCACAAAACACTCAAAAAAAAAGAAACCGCTCAAATTGCAAATTATCGAATTGTAGAATTATGTTTGTGTTTGTGCTTTCTTTTAGATTATTTTTAATTCTATATTAATAATTCTATATTAGTTGTAGGGCTGGGTGACTTTCCTAATTTTATCAGTTATCCAAATGTTTTGAATAAAAGTATTAGATATCTTGACAACATGTCAATGATAACAGTTAAGAGAGAAAAAAAAATGATCCAACCGTATTAACGTTGAAAATATTGCTAGTCCTATAAGGGGATATTCATAAAAATGTGTTTGTATTGAAAAACATGAGACATAGAATGGTGGAAAACACTCAAGGTTATAAGATGCGAGTTGAATTTCTTTTAGCTGGAGTGCCACATTTTTAGAAAGCCATTTCATGTGCAAGACGCTGCAAAAGACACACACAAGCAAAACGGTCAAAACATCCATCAAGCACATGTTTACATAGAAAAAAAAAACTTTCTTTGAGTAGATGGTTTTGCAAGTTTTTAATGAAGAGAATGTTAACTGAATCATGTTGTAGTTACGTTTTTAAGTTGATATTAAAGTTAAACATAAAAACAAATCGAAATAGTTACCATGAATCTGTCAAACATTCTAAAAAAATGCCATTTGAATAAACACGCGGTAGACCAGCGGGTTCCTAGTCTGACGTCAGCCTGTGCCGTTGGCCTGAAAGCACTGGGGGTTTGTTTCAGCAGCAGTTAAAACACACACAAAGCGTCAGACAGGCAACAGTGATGAATGATTCAAGTGTTCTAGGCCACACCGAGCCTCAATCCACTCTAGTTAGCAGGCAAGTTATACGTAAGGACCCTTTCTGAGAAAAGTCCAGACCCTCGGGCATGTGTGCATAAACTCGCATTCAGACAGAGGCTAAATCTCCAGTGTCTTAAACAAACAAAATTCGCCCACACGGGTCAAATGCTGTCAGACCAACTCACCATAAATGAGAAATTTGCCTGCGTAGTTTGAATTGCAGATAGGAGTTTCCTGTCGGTGTGTAGCCTGTAGTCACCACAAGCAAATACCTGCACGCACCTGAGCGTGTCTCCCATAAATCCCTGCAGCTGATGGAACGAGGAGATCCAGCATGCCCAATGGGATTTTTTTTGTACTTCATACTAGAATAGACAATCGGTTGCTTTTTACTGCTTCAAATTGCATCACAATGTCCACATGTTGTACATTTATTGATGAAGTTTAAATTAAGGATGCACTGACATTTTGGGACCAAGAGAGAAAAAATAAATAAATAAAAAACTGAAATCCATGGCTGAAACACTGACTGAAAAAAAACTTTGAAATGTGAAGTGATACTGGTTTTAGTGTGAATGGGAAATCTTGTTATTTAAGGAGCGGGAACAATACTAATCTAATAGTGACCAAAGAACTGGTAACGAGGATGAGAATTGAATGAATATTATAAAAATTCACTGGAGATTTTTAATCTAAATAGCATGAATTTGAAAAGAATTCAAAAACCCTTTGTTCAGCGTTGGTTTCAGAAACCCTTATAAAGCATGTAAAGCACTGCTAGTGTTTTTCAGCGATTATTCCTGGGATTGAATGCTGTTAACGGTGTCTGTATGACTGCACCCTCTTGTGGAGAAATCATAGGGACACTTTTATCAAACAGAAAATACCACATGCAACTGACCGCTACTTATAAAAAATGTTAGCCATTTTATCACACGTTACAAAATATAATGGTTTGTATTTTAGACTCTAGGCATGAAACCTTTGCTACACTACCATTCTAAAGTTTGGGGTCAGTAGGATATATATATATATGTTTTTTTAATTAATTAATACTTTTATTCAGCAAGGACAAGGTAAACTGATCAAAAGTGACAGTAAAGACAATGTTACAAAATATTTTTTTTGGATATATACTGTATATTTGAAAAATCTTCATTCTTATTTTGTGAAAAAACTGTACTTGATGTACTGTACATGAACTGTACAGAGTTGTGCAATAATCAGAAATGTTTCTTGAGCAGCAAATCAGCATATTAAAATGATTTCTGAAGATCATGTGACACTGAAGACTGGAGTAATGATGCTGGAAATTCAGCTTTGATCACAGGAATAAATTACATTTTAAAATATAATGAAACAGAAAACATAATATGTAACTATATTATTATAAATGCTGCCTTGGTGAGCATATGAGACTTCTTTCAAAAACCTACATCAAACAGTAGTGTATTTAGTAGTTAGACAGACACGTGTTTAATGTTGTCACGACACGTTGATTGACATTTATCATTTATCATTATGACTGTTTTCCAGCAGTCAGCAGAGTAGTCAACAGAGCAGCCAGCAGAGCAGCCATGACGACGATTCCAGCCGCTTCCTGACTCCCTTCATCCGTGAGGACAGGTGAGTACACTGTGTGAGTGTCTGCATGCACTGTACTTATCAGAAACATCAATACTTTTTTAGAAATGAATTGATGTGCAGAGATGTTCAGACTCCCAGAGCTCAGGGTGCAAAGAGGAAGCCTTAGATAATGTTCAACTCAGTGACTTTAACAAGCATGAAAGGCATAGAAATGGATTAAACAGCCAAGCTTGATCTGGTAATTGTAAAAGTTTAACGTTTACGGTGACTGGCTGAGTGGAAAAACCTCCTGGTGATTCAAAATATCTGCTCTGAAATGCCTTTCAGGAGAGGACTTTAAACTTTTAATATCATTTGATAGAGAGCAGTTTGTAGATTTGTCTGTCATGATCTCAAAATGTTTCAAAATGTTCCTTACATGTACATTTATACATTTAGCAGACACGTAAATTCACATTCACAAAGACACATTCTGTTGCACAGAATCAAACTTGCAGTTTTGAGAGAGAAACAATACAGATAAGTCGCATTGGTGTTTATTATTACATTGAAATATATTTTTTTTTTTGCAATATTCAGGACAGAGCAGGAATTAAACATATAAGTATAAAACAAACAGTGACATTCGTTATAAACATCATTTATTTTAAACACCAAGCCTAAACAGATATATTTAAAGTTCAATTTGTAAATACATTTGTTTTTAAATATGTTTTGCATACTTTATGGTAATTGCATCACATTTCACATTAATATTAAGAAATGATTGATTCATTATTGTTCATTGCTAGCTCATGCTTTGTCAAGATCAAACACACTGAAGGCTGGAATACACTCAAATCTGAATACATTTTTAGACACTAGGCATCATACACTTGTTGACTTTGTAAATGGCTACAGAGAAAAACAGGGCATCATACACTAAACGACACTTTTGGTGACCGTGACTAACCATGTTTTCAGGTAATTTCAAATGCAGAGACTCGTGACAAATGAAAAAAAAAAATGTGTTGTAAAATCTGCTTAAAATATCAAACATGTCTGATATCCTTTAACTGGATGGAATCACAGTCTGAAGCTAAAAAATCTGTCTGTGTGCATCATACACTAAGTGATTTTTTTTGCTAAATATTTTAACTCAGACTGCGGACCATCTTTAAGCAGCTAGTGAACTAAAGTTTGGGACAAAATTCTGGTCAGAAGTTGTGTAATATATTCCAGCTTTACCATGCACCTCAAACTGATAAAAACACTGTTGATTTTCTCACAGGGCTGACAGCGGAGCAGACAAGTGTAGGTAAGTGTGTGTGTGTGTGTGTGTGTGTGTGTGTGTGTGTGTGTGGTAAATATAGTAATCTTGATTCACATATCTCTGCAAACCTCAGTGCAAAGGTTGTTTTGTTTGCGATATATCTCAGAGCCCCGCTGTACTTTTGTGAAGTTGAGCCCTGAATACAGTTGCAAGCTACGGAATGCCATTGCTTGCCTTTTTATTGGACAAACAGCTCTGATCACAATGCCTGGGAACAAACAGAGCTGGGGCTTCAGCCGTTTCGCTTTCTCTTCATTTCTGTATCTGACCTCCAAACAAGACATAGTAAAGGCCAAACATCTGAGCTGTAGTTGTGGGATTAGAGATAAGCGTCTGTAATTGTCCAGGAGCAGAAGGTAAGTGAAGGCCAAACACAGATTAGATCTTGTTTTGAGTCCGAGGAACTGATGCTTTTAAGCAGTTTTGTCAGTACGGTTGCATTTGTTCGTGTTCTGTGCATGGAAATGTTCAAATCCTCTCTGTAAAACACTCTCTACAAATGTTTCATTCGTGATAATTGCACTTACATCTGTTTCTGAACAAAGTTTTTTCACTGGAGTGTTTCTACATCAGCTCCTGTAGAGAAGTGCTGCGTGATTCTGATGATCTCTCTACAGCTGAATATAAAGGTGCTTTAAGATGTACTTCACAAAACTTTCAAAGGTTTAAAGTGAAGTGAAGTGAAGTGACATGTGGCCAAGTATGGTGCCCCATACTAGGAATTAGTACTCTGCATTTATCCCATCCAAAGTGCACACACACAGCAGTGAACACACACACACCGTGAACACACACCCGGAGCAGTGGGCAGCCATTTTTTGCTGCCCGGGGAAAGAGCGCTGTACATTCACTTTGGGTTACGAGTCCGACTCTCTAACCATTAAGCCACGACTTCCCTAGAACATGCTTAAGGCATAGAGTAGGACTTAAAGTGATAGTCCATGCAAATATTAAAATTCTGTCATTTGCTCACCCTCCACTTACTACAAACCTATATGAGTTTCTTTCTTCTGTTCAACATAAAAGAATATATTTTGAAGAATGTTGGTAACCAACCAGTTGCCATACTATGAAATTCAATGGATGCCATCAACTGTTTGGTTACTGGTAGCTATTGACTCCCATAGTATTTTCCCCCCATACTATGGAATGGCTCAATGGCTACCATCAACTTTTTTTGTGCTCAACAGGGAAAAAACCTCAGAAGGGTTTGGAATAACTTGAGGGTGAGTAAATGATGACATAATTTTCATTTGTGGGTGAATCATCCCTTTAAACTGAAGTTTTTGAAACTTCCCTTTCACATTGCCAATGAGACTGTGATGCATTGAGTAGTAATCACTGTGTTAAATGCATTAGATGCTCTTTGTGGACTTCTATTTTTGGTTGACACGCTCTTGAAAAGAACAACACAAGAAATGTTGCATTGGTTTGTTGTTGTGACCGATCCATCCTTTGATTTGGAGGTCAAATCTTCTGTTCTGATGCTGAACAGAGGCTGGCCTTTTGTCCTGATGTTTTGCTCTGTTCTGAGTGGTCAAGACTGTTGTCTGACCACCACCACATATCAGTTTAACCAGTGACAAGAGGCACAGCCCATCTCTTTTGTTTCATGTCATTGGCCGCCTGTGGATTTATAAAAGCCTGTAAAACCCGCCACAATAGGCGCTGTGTAAAAGTGTGGGTTTAACTCATTGTCTCATGTCAATACAATATTTAACTGAGCCTTTGGCTCTCTGCAAAGGACAGCTCTCTAGAGTCTCACATTGTTATTTACATGCTGCTGACCTCCTCATTTTTGGCTTATTTTTGTACATATAATAGTGTATCTGTGATATCACAATTGTTTCAACTAGAAAGTAATGAAATTAATTGGTGTTTCACACCCAGACTGCAAATGAGTGCTCTTTAACGTTGAAATAATGTCATTTTAAAGGGACAGTTCACCCAAAAATGACAATTCTGTCATTATGTATTCACCCTCATGTCGTTCCAAACCTGTGTGAGTTTCTTTCTTCTGCTGAACACAAAATAAGATATTTTGAAAAATGTTGGTAACCAAACAGTTGACGGTAGAAAGTAGTATGGAAAAAAACTACTATGGAAGTCAATGGCTACCATCAACTGTTTGGTTACCAACATTCTTTATATCTTCAATATGACCTCAGCATTTCTTGAATGTTTTCATTTATTCGCTCGCATATTATATAGAGACTTTGTTCTGTCTCTGGAATATGAAGTGCTGGAATGTGTCCAGTGATCTCTGTATGAAAGGAAGCATATGAGTGTTGTGCATATGGAGGGTCAGTCCAGGTGAAGTGTGTGACTCCGGATGAGGACATCAGCCGCAGGCTCTCCGATTCCTTGTGTAGCTGAAGAGGCAGAGCAGCGGAGGAGTGCAAATCCCTCCATCTCTCAGCCGTAGCCAGAATTAGCCTCATATTACTCACAGCCACAGCGGTTCTGCCATTTACATAACCCTGTCATCCTCACCCTCTCTTCTCCTTACTATCTACAGCACAGCTGAACCCAGCACTATACTTAGAGAAACTCAATTTATGAGAAACGAGAAAGGGAATCCTAAACTGAGAGAGAGATAAGGTGAGAGAAATTAAGTGTACACCTTCTTCAGTGCTTCTTTTCAATGGTTCCTTCAATGAAAAGGTGGAGGTTCTTTGTTGTTTTATCAACCTGCTTTGCTCTACGAGTAGGTGAGTGAATGTTAGATGGAATCAGACTCACTTTTCATTTGATTATGGTCTGTAGATTATATTGCATGATCATCATACACTCTTAAAAATGAAGGCATCTATGAGTCCATGAAGATCCATGAAGATATCAAGGAGAGATTGTGTGTTTATTTAAGCATACATTTGAAATGATTTGTGTCATAGATATGATGGCTAACCAACTACATGTGAGGAGAGCAACCTCTGCAGAAAATTTCTTCACTCAGCTCTGCTGGTGTCAGTCCTGTGTTCCCGTGTCTTGTGTTTTTCTCCCCATGACCTAGTTTCTCCCTCATGTTTATTATGTTCATTGATTTCAGCTGTTTCCCAGTTAGTTCCTTGTTTCTTAAGCCCTGTGTTTTTCCATGTCAAGCGTCCGGTATTGTTCGGTTATCCCCTTCTACGTGTGTGTTCCTTGTTCCTTGGATAAATAAAGACTTTCCGTGGCCCTCCCAGACACCACTGGACTAAGCTGGAGGGAAGGGATCCTCCGGTGTCTGGAGAGCGTCCGGCTCCGATCCAGAACCAGCCCGCCCTCAAGTCCGCCGGCCGCTCCATGTTCAAGTCCGCCAGCCGCTCCGAAGTCATGCCCGCCGGCCGCTCCTGAGTCACATCCGCAGGCTGCTTTGAAGCCAAGCCCACCTGCCGCTCAGCAGACAAGAAGTTGTGGTTCTCAATTAGGTCATTTGTTAGAGCTAAAGACGGACTCTCTCTTTGGTGACGATTGCTCACCTCCGGGAATTCTGCGGGCTAGCCGTAATGACGACGTTAGATGACGCCACACTAAACTTGCTGTTCTGGATCGGGGCCAACTAGCATCACCCCGTGGACCTCCCAGACACCACTGGACTAAGCTGGAGGGAAGGGATCCTCCGGTGTCTGGAGAGCGTCCGGCTCCGATCCAGAACCAGCCCGCCCTCAAGTCCGCCGGCCGCTCCATGTTCAAGTCCGCCAGCCGCTCCGAAGTCATGCCCGCCGGCCTCTCCTGAGTCACATCCGCAGGCTGCTTCGAAGCCAAGCCCACCTGCCGCTCAGCAGACAAGAAGTTGTGGTTCTCAATTAGGTCATTTGTTAGAGCTAAAGACGGACTCCCTCTTTGGTGACGATTGCTCACCTCTGCCTATTACTCACAGCCCCAGTAATGACCTACAGCAGCTCAGAGCTGAGGACTGTGGGAGATTTATGAACCTCATCCTCTACCGCTTTGAACCCTATAAAGCAGGGGTGCCCAAGCTCGGTCCTGGAGGGCCGGTGTCCCGTAGAGTTTAGCTCCAACCCCAATTAAACACACCTGAAGCAGCTAATCAAGCGCTTACTAGGCATACTAGAAACTTCCCGGCAGGTGTGTTGAGGCAAGTTGGAGCTAAACTCTGCAGGACACCGGCCCTCCCGGACCGAGTTTGGACACCCCTTCTATAAAGGCTGCAGTACACAAATTTCTGTTGCCTTTACATTATCAACATGATCAGTTAAGTTAAGTGAAAGTGAAAGTGAAAAGTGAAAGTGACGTTAAAAGCCTTTTAGTATAATTGTAAAATCCATAGTGAAAAATAAATAAGTATTTGAAATACATTTATTTCATGCTAAATATACTACAAATACATTTACATATTTATGTACTTAATAAAAATACCCTGCTTGTACTTTTAGTATACTAAACTGGTATACTTAAAGTCTGCTTAATTGGAACAACTAATCTTGTACTTAATGCACTTTAATTGTGCTGAAGTAGTTATGAAGTCCAACTAAAGAGATACTGAAGTATATTTCATTGTTCTAAAGTGGAACTATTGCAAGTATGCTTCAGGTACACTTTAAATATCTTGCACTTAAAGACAATGATCATGCAATCCTTATTAATAGTGACATTAAAACACATCTTTAGGCTTAATATTAAGAAATGTGCTTTGTGCACAAGCAGTACTCCAAATAAAGTTGAATTATAATTTTTTATATCAGTAACCCTAGATGATATGTCAGTAAATATGTAAATAGATTTGAGCTATAGTATATGAAATAAATGTATTGATTAAAATATGAGTGTAAAATATGATCATCAGGCTTTTGAGGAACTTTATTTGTTCATCCCTTAATCATCATTATTGCATGATATGTTTTAAAACGACAGATATTTGGTCATAAACTAAACATGTAAATATCATCTTACTGAGGCATACTATTGGGAGATACTGTCACGTTTCGCTACTGTGAGGAGCACTGAGCGAGGAACGAGGAGACCTGGAGTAAACTTAACAA